CATTCTTTGAGCACACTCCAAGAATGTTTCTCAAGAGGCCAATTTTTCAACCTCTGGGTTACAGTTGTGCCTGTGCTTGGGTTTAGTTATTCTGTACATCTAAATAACCTGACCAGTTCAGTTGTCATAGCAATTGGTTTACCTTGGGATGGATTTAAGTATGCTCTCCACTGAGCTCTCGCTCAGTTTAGGTGTTCGACCAGACAATTTGTAAGATTACTGACCCATCTGCGGCCCAGCAATTTGTCAAGTGTCCCAGATGGCTCTAGCATAAGAGGCTAAGGGGACCTACCAAGGTGCTGCTCAGGGAGTGTCATTCCACTTAGTTATTTTTGTTTAATAATAAAATTTTAATTTTTATTTCATACACATACCTAAGCAACAAAATATTTACTTTACAATTTTAAATTAATGCAATGAATAGTTTTCAAGTTTAGGCCTATTGTTTAACAAATTGTGTGTGGCAACCATATTTGATTACAAGAGCTTAGGTAAGCTAGAAACCTCTGGACAGCCTTATACTGGTTGAACTGTTGCATGAAGTCCCCCCCTCTTATAAGACGTGGACTTAGCAAGTCTTATAAGAGTCTTTCATGAAATGCAGTAGAAATATAATAACACTGTGAAGATTCAGACTACAAGTGCCATTCTTTTTATTTTAGTGAATCAAAAACAGGATACACTGCAACATGCTCAAGTAAGGATAACCTATATTATTCAGTCTATATTGTTATTTAATTTACTGTTTGGCTCATTATGAAATAATCTAATGCACAATTGTAATTTATAATACAGCTCATTATAACATAATTTAATATGCACCAATAGTTAACATCTGGCAATGTTCAGTTCATTGTACCAAACACAAAAACTGATCAATTAAAATTAAAGGCAATTTTGTAATACCAATTACACACACAAATCACAATTGCGTGATGCATCAAATGAACAAATCCACAAGGGCCGTGACGAGGATTCGAACCTACGTCCGAGAGCATCCCAGACGCTGCCTTAATCGACTGAGCTACGACATGGTGACACTACGACATGAGCTACTACCATGTCGTAGCTCAGTCGATTAAGGCAGCGTCTGCGATGCTCTCGGACGTAGGTTCGAATCCTCGTCATGGCCCTTGTGGATTTGTTCATTTGTAATACCAAGCTTGATTAATTTGTAAAGGGAGACAATAAGTCATTAATACAAAGTAGTAACACTACATTATATATTTTTATCTAACTCAACATAAAACCTTCTTAAACCAGTAACCTGCATTATACAATTGTGTCCCACCTGTGACCTACAGTACTTGAAGTTACTTACATTCAAGCCTCTCATGACCTACATGAACAGTTTTGTGGTTTTCTTCCAGTAAAAAAAAAAAAAAATGGATTTTTCTGTAGTTCTACAAACTACTTTACATTAATGTTAAAGCAGATTAAAACTAAAAATTTAACCTTCATAAATTGGTTTCAATTCTGATGGGTTACACTTGCCAGGTATATTAGTTATAATGACGGGTATGATTTCATACCATCTAATAAAGACAACAAGGTGCATCAGGAGAGGAGGGAAGTTGTGCAAAATGTATAGTTCTTGGTGAAAACTATTAGTAATGGTACTGCCAATCTTTGAGCAGGAAGGGGCATCCATCGGGGGACAAGTCAGAGTTTGTGTGCATTAGTCCTTTGCACACAGTATTTTTGAACAACCTCTCAAGAGTTAATTGTTTAAATGTTTTACAAATTATGCATTTTATAAAGAACTGCAAAGGACATAACATGCCATACAAATGTATCTCAAGAGTAATTTTCAAATCATTGTTTACATAATTACTGAAATTTAAAGCTTTTTGATGGCCAATTGCAACATTTTGTTGACTAATTAATTTTTAAAAGTTACAAGGATTGTTTTATACTGTCCAGGCAGCCCTTGACTTCTGTTTGTACAGCAAAGACTACATAAATCAGTCTTAAAAAGTTTATGATGTAAATAAGATCATATTCTAGTGACCTACAAAGTTCATTTTTTCTCTTAATTGAATAAAATACTTATGTGAACATGAATATTTAATCTCCCTACACATTCCACCCGAAATACATTACTTAACGAAGTCCATAATGCTTGAGAGGTGCAATGATGCAAGAATATAATTTAAAATGTTTGTAAAAGGCAAGAAATGCTTTGTATGTAGTAACCCAACACAACTGAAAAAAGCAGTAGACCCACCGATAATACACACTAAATATGTTAGTCAGCCATTTCCTATCCGAACCCCTCGGGCCCGAGACTGAATGGATGACATGTGTTTGGATAAGTGGTTAGTCATCCTGAAAAGCTAGGGGGGGGGAAAAATTGACAATTTTGTTGCAAAAATTCAAGTGTTTTGTTTGTACTCGTTAATACATGTTCTGATCTGCTTGTTAACAATGCTACATCAACTATAATCTTCAAGTTATTTAGATAGAAAAGTTGGTGGATGATGATGAGTGTTGGGTTGACTGAAGTGGAGATTAATGGTGATAGGTTAACCTCAGCAGACTGCCTTTCACCATGAACTCTAATTTACCTAATGCCATGGCAGTTTAAAGCTTCTGAGCCATCCATTAGTGTATGAACACTGCTCAAGTGGCGATCTGATATGGGTGGGAATTATTGTATGAGTGTAGGGTGAGCGCAAATACCATCCCCAATGGGGCCAAAGTTAGACAACAGCCATTAGACACAGTTTAATGTTTAATGATGGTGATGGTAAATTTTGGCGATAGTTTACCAAGGGTATATGCAGCATTGTAGCTGAGACTGTAGGTGGTGCAGTTACAGTCTGTGGCTGAAAGTGTGTCACTAACCATAGGCTCTTAGGACTTCCAAGGGCTGTTTAGGGTGACTGCAGGTGTTTAACAATGAACATGACATAGTACTAGTCTACATGGCATAATATTAGTTGGTATGACATGGTATGATACTATAACCACATTTTATTACTTCTGGGTTAATAAGACTAGCCAGCACTACAGAAAAGGTAAGTGAATAAATTAATATTTTGTTTACCGGTATATGTTTGGTGAAAATTTTTTATTTATATGCAAAATAAATCATTTTTTTATATTGTATGTGATAAACCAAAAAAAGTTAAATTTTTCAGAAGCTTGTACAGTATTTCATACAAATCTGGATTGGATCGAGAATGATATGATTCAGATTTTTATTTTATTTTTATTATAACACTTTCACAGTGGTCAATCAGGTTAGCTGTATTGTGATCACTCGCATAAAGTGTCACCAAAAATTGTGAATTTAGTTATAAGTGCAAATCCTCTTTACTCCCACAAAGTTCTGATAAATTGAAGCAAGTTCACAAATAAGTATTGAGACAATGAGTGTCAGTGACAGGCAGGTTGTGTTGTCTTCCTTGATGCCTGGCCATTGGCTGGCCATTTTGGGTCATTATTTCTTTACCTAAGTAATATACAGTATATTATATATACATCCCTGGACTTCAGTTAGAAAGTTATTTTAAAATACTGTATTAACATTTTTTGAAGGTGCACTTGAAATATATCCTAATTATACATGCTGATTTTACAATATCAGTATCTGAAGTTACGCAATTCTGATTACGCAATGTTTGTGTAATAACATGTTTCTTACTAAACTACATTCTGCAATACAGTAGTTATTGCCATTGCACAGGGAGTTCCCTTCTCATTGGTTGTGTCTCGCTGCATTCTACCAATTTAGCCGAGTCATCATATATTAAACAAAGATGTTATACAGTATATATTTGCTTTTAATCATGAGACTCTTTTTGTATATAAATTGTGGCCGAGTATTTTCAGGGAACAAAATTCTTCAATAAAATATTTGAATGAAATCCGAGGATTATTGTAACAATTATTATTAAGTATTTACACAGTACAATCGGCCCTCTACTTGCATGAGAGAGGCATTCGTGAAAAGCCTAATGCAGAGTGAAGTTAACTTTAAATAGGAAAACTAAGTAAATATTACAGAGACCTGGACAAATTTATGTTTTTTTACTCTTTTCTCAATAAAACCTCATCCTGAGTATTACTACAAAATACTCACAGGATGGGTAAGAGGTGCATAATAAGTGAATTAAGTGATTTACCAATTTATTTTTAAACAGTATAGAATAATATTTACATACTGCACATGCTATGCTGAATGCAAAGTTGGAAAACAGCTGACTTCCTTTATAATATTATGGTAAACAAATACTGTATATATATATATTAACCCTTTCACACGGAATATTGATTTTAACTGACAGCAGCAGTATGAGCTTGTCTGTGTGTGATCGTCAGCTTAAGTCGTTACAGTATGTTATTAAATTACTAGTGTGGGTGTTTCTGCTACACTGGTGCCACATGACATTGGAATTTCCTACTTTATTTTGTGTAAGGGTTGATTTTATATAAGGTTTTGAGGCATGAGTTGTATGAGAGTGGCATTCTACATCAGCTGGAAGGGCAACCTGGAGTGAAGATTTGACTTTTGGATAGTGTAAATAATGGGTTACCAGTACTGTACTTGTGTTCTCTGATTTCCAGAATGGCTCTTAAGACTAATAAAGCAACTTAAAATCTTTTGCAATTTTTAATTTTCCCTTCCCCCCCCCCTCAAAAAAAAAAAAATAGGCACATTAAAATCTTTATGTAAGAGGTTATTTAATAATTAGGTTTAGCGTATTAATAGTAATCAGTTTGCTGGAGTGATATCAACTTAAGATAGAAATGGCTTCTCATTATTTAGTAGTTCATATTCACACGTACTTTTTTGGTGATGAGGTATGATACCAAGAACACAATTATAATTTTGTTGAGTATCTGTATTACAAGAGATTAGTTTATTCAGGTAAGTGGAGTAAATAGCAGCAAAATATTTATAATTTTTAAGTGGTTAAAATCCAATAACAAATTGTTATTCAACGGTCAAACCAAGATCATATTCTGGTAATGAAAAATATTATTATTTTCAGATGAACCCATGTGTTGGATCAATGAATGCCCAACTCTACCCACATTTTGAATCACGGCAGATGATTGGCCCCGGAGCACCACCCTCTGTGTACATCCAACATGGTTTGTATTGCACAAATGTATTGCCTTGTGATGGTCAGGATTGACAACCATTTTCTTTACCAGCTGGTGGTTTCTGTCTTATTTTATTTTACCTAATTGTTTAATAGTTTACTTTCTAATTTTGGGGTTAAATTTTGAGTGACATTAATTCCCCTTAAATTAAAATATTTCACATTATACAGTGTGCTAATTAAATATTGCTGATGTTCTTTCCTTGACAGTATACAGATAATTTACTACTTGATATGTTGGCACAGTATTATGCAGTGTATTGCATAGTTATAATATTGGTAGTGGACCATTGAAATTTCCTTGAATTTATTATGACCCTAACTCTTGCTATAGTAAATACAGTAGCATCACAACACCTTGGGACCTGGAGATGGTCTGATAATGCAATTAACATGTTTATAAAATAGAAATGGTCCCTTGGGTATAAATTAAATGTTTGTAGAGAGAACAAAGTTCTGACGAGTATGCAGAATATGCAGGGGAAACACCAAAATGAGAGTAGACTTTATTTGTTGATGATTCACTTAAGAGGGCTTTATCATATCTAACATACACAGTAATAGTTAATGCTTTACAGCCCGGGTAGCTAGAGGGAGACCACACAAAGTGGTGTTTAATTACACTTGACACTTTTTCCAGTATTGAGCACCTTTCATTTATTTTGTATTTGTGCCTGTCAAGAAATTTGTTGAAGTAATGATAGATTTTTGACCTCTCATTGTGGGTCATTGAATGACTAAATTTGTATACTGTAGATCTAAAAGCCAGGCTCCAGTTCACACACTTTTGTGAGGGGGAAATTAACCCATCAATCACATTGATGAGTCTTAGTATGCCACCCTCAGCACAGCAACACTAGTTACTGTATTTTATATCTTCCCAGAAAATGCTCAAGTGAATGGCCAATTAATCACTGTGTATATTTCTAAGAAATTGCTGACACTTATTATGCTATATACAATAATATATTAATTAAATAAGTAACTTTTTCAATTAAGAATATTTTTATTATCGTCATAGTTTTTTGAAGTTACGTATCTGGTTGGGTATCAGGTGTTTAAGTACTGTATGTATTGTTTGTTTGAGTGTAACATATTCAAAGAGCTTCTGAATTTTGTTTAGGTGATAGAAAATGGCTTGAAGCAGGTGTATCTTACAACTAGGTATCTTACTCAATGTGAAACAGGCTTTATCATAGAGTATATATACAGTATAGTATTTAGCACCAAAGTTTGATAGCACCTTCCAGGATATACTTGAAATATTGACTTAAGTTTTAATGATGCTGCTGCTGGTACAGTGTTTCATGGGTTTCCACACCTGGCAATAATGCAGTGGCACCTCCATAATCCGCAGCGTGTTTTTTCAATACCTGATCTGGATTTGCAAATTATTTAGTTTTGAATATGTGGCATTTTATATAAAAAAGATATTGTGTGCATGTAAATATTAAGTATGCTCATAAGAAATATGAAATATTTACTTTGTTACTTCTTGTAGCAGAGGCTGGTCTTGATCACCCATACACAATGTGTTTATAGTGTTGTACTGTGTAGTAATGTGCAGTGAAAAACATTTTAACATCATACTGTAACTGCACATTAACAATTTATATCATTAAATTTGAAATACTAGCAGTGGACAGGAATTTTTAAGTGTTGCATAAAACACTAGTAAAAAAAAAAAAAAAAAAAGGCATAAAACAAGATCGTCCAAATCCGTATCATTTTTATAGTATTAAGTATTTTCTATCAAAACCTTTATTACCTATGCTCTCATTCTCACTGACAAACATCATGATCTGTTTTCTTTGCCCTTTTTTATGTCAGAAATAGTACTAGTATAAATGCCATATTTCTTTGAAAACTATTTAGCTTCCCAGCCATGACCAAGTTTCTCTTATACTATGGCCTTCTTATCGATGGTTCTTCTTATTCTTACTTGAAGTAACCCTACTGCTTTTGCTGGATGACATAGTTTCGACTGGCAAGGAATAGATCCAAAGAAAAGTCAGGGAAAATACTCAAGTAACAAGAAGTCAAATGCATAGGGAAGGTCACACACAGGGAGAATATGTAGTCAGTATGTGTGTACTCTCGGAGGTGTTTGGATGCCATAGTAGTAGTCATGTTAACAAACATTCATACAATTTATAATACAGTACAAACACAGTAAAATATTGAAAAGCATTACTGTATTTTGAATGCTATTAACACTTTCGCTCACCCCGCGCGCCACCCCTCAACTGTGCGATATGGGACCCAGGGTGTCACGGGAGCGCGCATAAATTCTGAAAAGTGTATACTCTCTTCAACTTTGTCACCTTAATTCTCGTCCTACGAGATTAAATTTGGTATCATTGTGTTCGCAATAGAATTCTCTACAGCACTAAATGCATATAAACTCCAAAAGCCCGGCTAATTACCCGCAGCAAACAGAGAAAGTGCGAACGAGTTACCCAGGAGCGCGCAAACGCGATAAAATGTTTTCACTATTTTCACTCTGGTCACCTCAATTTTTGTCCTAGGTCCTTCATTTTGGTCTCAATGGGTTCGCAATAGAATTCTCTAGAGGAACATTAGCATATAAAATATAAAACCTGGTCACGCTCCAACTGCCGACGAGTTGAAGACGGGCCACGCGTTAGCCGCGAGTGAGCGCTCAGACGCCTTCCAGCTACACTCCCAATTCCCTCCCTTTTCAAGCCTTTCTTTCGCAATTTTCTTCCTGGAAGGGCCTTGTTCATGATCACTATCCATTGTGGAGTAAGGGTAGATAGTTTCTAAAGCCGCAGTAAGAAATATAGCCCCGGAAAATAGCCGAAATGTTCACACGTTTGAGATGCGAGGGGAGGCGACATTGGTCACAACAGTGGAGCGAAAACAATGGGCCCACGGCATGTGCCAAGCCACCTGAGGGCCACGAGGCTCAACAAAGAAAATGGGAAGACATCGGCGCACATTTTAAAACCACTCCCCCAAAAATTGGATAAAAACCTGATTTTTGGCGATTATTTAAAGTGGATGACGCAATGCTGCGTCATGCCCGGGCGAAAGTGTTAAAAGCCCAAGAGCAAAAAATAGGAAAACAAAATACACTTAGCTGGAAATTATCATGCAGTACATGATAATCCAGATTTTACATCAGTCATTGGAAAAATTCACATTATAATTCTAAATATTCAGTTTTTGTTATCGGCATTCCATGAGTAAATTTAGTTCATTATTTAGTTTGATCTTTTGTATGGAGGCTTAGGATTTTGTTGGTGCCACTTTAATAATGTAAATAATAATTTAACAATGATAATAATAGGGTTGCACAATTTACAACCTCATGAGTACTTATTATTACCTAAATATTATGTAGACTAGTTATTCACATTTGTAGGATATTTTAGTTTATTTTTATTACTAGTGAAATAGATGGTCATCTGTTTCTGTCTTTACTTGCTAGTGTAGAACAAGTATTGCTTGTTTATGGTAGTTAATAGATGCATCCTCTTCTTGCAGACAGTGTAAGTGACTACAACTCTGGGACTTGCTCTGTATTTGGTGGACTGGGTACAACTTTTGACCCATCTGCCCCATATGGGTCCTGCCACAGTTTTCCTCCTTCTAGTGTGGCGCCTCCTCAAGTGGTGCCTCCGCAGGTACCATCCCAAGTACCTCCTCCCCAGCCCACACCAGAGGCCTACAACTCTCTCTCCAAGTTCACAAATTCTACCAATTTGGTATCCACTTCCTTTTCATATTCTGGTGCTGTTGCCCCTGCTCCTGTCCCTACTCCTGTTAATTGCTCTTATACTCAGAACAACTTTTGTATGCCTGGGGTGCATGACAATACTGCTACAGTCTTTGGACAGTACCATGAACCTAGTGCTTCAACACAAAATTTGTTTAAGGCTGATGTAACTGAATGCAGTGATTTTCAACCCAACTTTGAGGCTATTTCCTCCTCCTCTGCCTCTCCAGACAAAACCAGCAGATACATTCCAGCATCATCCTTAGTTGGGCCTAGCAAGGAGATCTGCAATGAATATTCGGGAGCAACTTCAAGTGGATGCTCCAGTATGGTTGGAGGAAGCTACAAGGTAGACAGCTCAGCATCAAATGTCTCACAGAGTCCTGTTGACAACTCACTGTCTGATCAGCCATTGCCTACCCAGTCCATCAACACACCTTCACCACCACTGAACTTCAATGCTAATCACCTTGGTAGTTCAAACAAAGATTCAATCATGAATAACAGTAATGAAAATCCTTCTGAAGCAACTGAAAATTTAGGAGAAATTGTTAAGAAGTCTATGGTGGAAACTGTATCTGCTTAATAAGGTTTCAAGACAGTGGACTTGAGTCTCAAGTTCATTGTTGAACAAATTTGCCAGGTTTGAATACAAGGTCAAGGTACCATAGAGATAAGTTTTGATACACATTTAGAAAGGATTTCAATATAGAGATATATCTTTCTACATTAGAAATCAAATTAGCCCAACTGCAGTGCTGTCTAATATTTATGATGGCTAATTTACAAACATTTGTTGAATCTTTTAGTGCAGGGAAAATAGGTATTCTTGTCCCAACAGCAGTGTCCCAGCTTTTTAAGGTGAAATTTCCTTTGTTCTTTACTAAAGATAAAGTGATGAAAAATAATGACCATTGTGATAAAATGAAGCACTAATGAACTGGTTACTAATATCAGATGCTCAAGTCATTGCCTCAAGAAATGAGATGTACATCTAAAAGTTTATACAAATGTAAAAAAAAGGAAAAAGAAAAACAACCGACATTCATAGGGGAATAATACGGTTTTTTGTTCAAGTGAATTCATGCATTGTGTCATTATTATTGAGTGGAAAATAGTGAAAGTGATGTATGCTTTGCCCCTCCCTCCTCCCCCCTTCCCCACACAGGGATCCTGCTAACAGTTCAGGGTAATATACTTCTAATAACTTACATTTCCTGTTATGATTTTTATATAATTTAATTTTTATTCAGTGTAATACATGATGTATTTGATTTTTTCCCAGAACATTTTAATTTTAGTTGTAATTGACAACTTTTGTTTTACTTTTATTGACTTTACAGTGTATTTTAAATTGCTCTTGTATTTTTCTCTCTCATGCATAGTTGTTTTTGTGATTGTTATTTGTATTATATAAAGGAGCTTTAATTTTGTCAAAAAGGCTATTGTTTAATTGTATGAACTTGTACAGATTAGTGTTTCAGTCTTCTAATACTGTCCTGGCCACTGATGGTCATTTCAGGGTTCTCAAATACTATTAAGACAAATTAACACCATTTATCACCAGCCAACTCTTGTGCAGGCTGTTTTAAACCACATGGAAAACCATGTGGTTTTTAAGCTAAGTTATTGTTTTCATCTTTCCACTCATTAACTGGATTTTTTAAATAAAAAAAAGGATTTTGACTGTCTTCAAAGTCTGACCAGTACCAGTGATAATATAACACATAATGTCTAACTGTTTATACTGTACAGACATTGAGTGTCATGTGTATATTGAGCTCTTCTCAGAAAGTGCGATTTTTTATGTGAGATAATTTTTAAAAGTATATTATTTGAAATATGTGTTTTACTTGCATTTCCTATGAAACCCATCATTGTGTTACACCATGTTTGTATTCTTGTAGACATCGATATGCATTCACAAAATTCCTCACAACCATTAAAGACGACATAGCATGAGCATTAATATAATATTTGTTTGGCAGATGAAATTTGAATTCTCCAGAGTTGGATGGACACTAAGTTCAGTATTCTGATTTATTTTCAGATTAAACATAACATTTTCAAGTTAAATAAGTTACCCATTTGAGTTTTTGTACTGCAAGGCAATAAAACATTGGCACATTACAGTATAATTTGTGAAACGTGACTAAAGAGCAAAATATTTGAAAATACGCCTTTGACCATTAAGGATTACAGCACAAGACCTTCGCTCTATGAAGGTAAGTACAAACATTAGTTTCCTACATATTTATTGGATCATTCCCCAAAAAACTGCATTAAAAGTATTTTTTATCATATCTGTAAATTAAAATACTAAAATATATTCCATTATAAATTTTTACAAAATTTTTGTGTGGACAAATTCTAGCATTTGTTTCTTCAGATAAAATTGTTTTTACTGTAGTGTAATTTAAATGGAATGGATCATAGGGGACTAGACCTGGTCCTGACCATTGAAGTTTTCACAGTTTTCTGGTACATACTGCCTTTACTGGGCTTGCATGCCATAGTAGCTCCACTTGGCTTACATCACTATCATGCATAGGACAGTGCCAGGCTGACAGTGATAATCTCTGCACACTTAGCACAAGTACTGTTTCAGTCTTGTCCCCTCCATGTGGCAGGAAACTCATGGATATCGGAGTTCCATCCCCTAAAAAATGAACTGCCGAAAACAAGTTAAAATGAAACTCGACCCTTTTATATTTGAAATGACCTGTCAACAAATAACTTTGGAACTACCTAGTGGTTAGTCAATCGCTGAAAGCACATGGATGGTACCTGTCTAAAGACATTGGTACCTGTTTAAAGACGGGTACCAATGTGAAAGTGAAACCTCTTAAACAACCTCTTAGATATATTTTGACGTATCAGTTGATAATCAGAATTACATAACCTTGATAATGTGTTCATAGAGCAGCGGACATCTTTCTTGCCAAAATTCAAAGTACAATTCATAGTCGTCTACTCGCCAAACAATTAACACTAAAATAACTGAACACACTAAGGCTTACAAATGGCATACTGTACTTAAAAAAAATTAACAATAAACATGAATATGAATAGAAAACTGGCAAAATAAGAATTTGCATAAAGGTGGCCTTGACATTAATAAGAAATGGTAAACTATCCTACCCTAAAAACATTAAAGGAGGCAAAAAGAACCATCGATAACCACCTCTTAACTTGGATTCAAACAAGATTCACACAAACCAAACTTGCCAAAGACTAATTAGTCCTGGCAGAGAGCTCGGAAATAATGACTTAAATTCAATAGTGTCATTTCATAAGTTAGCGCCTTTGTGGCTAACCACCTTAAAAATTACCACAACTAAATTATTGCCCAACTCTGTGCTCATTACTAGCTTGAATTCAAATTGTGACATGCTTGTTTATCTCTGAACTATACATAGATATATTGTATATGCATACTTCAAAAAGGGACCAGTCAAATTATGGTGAACCTCATGCACACATGGGCTGCAAGAACATGAAGAAGTTGATGCCGATGCCAAGCTTACTTTCAATAAAAACAGTAACAATATTTTGTGTTGTATAGAATTCTAGAATAAATCATGAGACAAGAATTATCAGATGAATTTGAAGACAGGAGAATAGTGCAAACAGTAACAAGCCTGCAGATCAATGTCAAACAAAACCCTTGTGTTAGCAAGTACTGTAATAACAAAAGCGACAGATGTCAAAGCTGGAATACTACTTTGCTCTAATTATCTCTGGCAGTTCATCTTGTATGAGGATCTATATAACAAAACTGTAAAATGTGTAAACAAAAGCAGCGACACACTAAACCATTACATCTTATATTGTGAGAAAATTAAACCATTTAGATACGGATCTAAACTTATGTTGCATGAAAAGCAAATAATTTTATTTCTAATGTTGCTACATAGCCTTCCTGGCTTTGTGCCTTCTTTTGATAATTACTTACTAATTTCTAACGTTAAAATATCTGAAATTCTTGCAATATATCCATATTTCGCTTTTAGTAGATAAAGGAAAATATGTGATGAAGGTTAAATTAAAAGCTGTGTAGCATATAATCCTACACAACAGCTTCTATAACCCAATAAAATTCAGTATTACCAAGATATCAAACAGCACTAACTGGGGTTTGATTAAGACCTTTAATGATCTGTAATTCTTTTGTGCTATCGCTCACAGGGTGAATATGCTGCTGTGGTGGCAACAGTCAGTATGTTTAGGCCTACATTGATGAATTTGTTCAACTGTGAACAGGTCGTTCTGCAGCAACCTTCAGTACCTAGCAGTAAAATAGGTACCTGGAAGTTCTGGGGAAGAGCTGTTAATTGTTGGCCTAGGGTGACCTTGTTAAACATAACGGGCTTCCATCCAAGCTCTTCAGAAACTACTTGCACATAGACTATTTAATTGATGTTTAGAGTAAAACTGGCTAAGATCCCCCCCCCCCCACACACATACACGAAAGTAAGGGGCGAGAAGTCGGACTGGCTAACAGTAATGAGTGGAGTACCTCAAGGATCGGCTGGGGCCAATCCTATTTCTAATTTACGTAAATGATATGGTTACAGAAGTGGAGTCCTACATGTCAATGTTCTCGGATGATGCAAAATTAATGAGAAGAGTTGTGACAGATGAGGATTGTAGGATCCTCCAAGAGGACCTGGACAGGTTGCAAAGATGGTCAGAGAAATGGTTACTGGAGTTCAACACGAGTAAATATAAAGTTATGGAAATGGGATGAGGAGATAGGTGACCAAAGGGACAGTACACAATGAAGGGGAACTGCCTACCTGTAATGATTCGAGAAAGAGACCTGGGAGTGGATGTAACACCTAATCTAACTCCTGAGGCACATATAAATAGGATAACGACAGTAGCGTACTCTACACTGGCAAAAGTTAGAACTTCATTCAGAAACCTAAGAAACCTAAGTGAGGAGGCTTTTAGGGAAAACTGAAAAAGGTTCGGAAGTTTGCGACGAGGCTTGTCCCAGAGTTACGAGGGATGGGATATGAAGAGCGCCTGAAGGAACTGAACCTTATGACACTAGAAAAAAGAAGGGAGAGAGGGGATGTGATAGGGACATATAAAATACACAGGGGAATTTACAATGTGGAAATAGATGACATGTTCGCACGTAATAGTAACAGAACGAGGGGACATGGGTGGAAACTTGAAACTCAGATGAGTCAGAGATGTTAGAAAGTATTCTTTTAGTGTGAGGATAATGGAAAAATGGAATTCACTTAAGGAACAGGATGTGAAAGCCAACTCTATTCATAATTTTAAAACTTAGATATGATAGGGAAATGGGACAGGAGCCATTGCTGTAAACAACCGACGGCTAGAAAGGCGGGATCCAAGAGTCAATGTTCGATCATGTACTCACAAATAGGTGAGTACACACGCGCGCATACAGCATGGCGTCCATATCTAGTCAAGCATAAGACTAAACTGGAGAAGGTTCAAAGGTTTGCCACCAGACTAGTACCTGAGCTGAGAGGCATGAGCTACGAGGAAAGACTACGGGAGTTAAACATCACGTCGCTGGAAGACAGAAGAGTTAAGGGGGGACATGATCACCGCCTATAAGATTCTCAAAGGAATTGATAGGGTAGATAAGGACATGCTATTTAAGCCAAGGGGCACACGCACTAGGGGACACAGGTGGAAATTGAGTGCCCAAATGAGCCACAGATATTAAAAAGAACATTTTTAGTGTCAGAGTGGTTGACAAATGGAATGCATTAGGAAGTGATGTGGTGGAGGCTGACTCCATACACAGTTTCAAGTGTAGATATGATAGAGCCCAGTAGGCTCAGGACCCTGTACACCAGTTGTGTACATACACCAGTACACCATAATCTTTACTGTATATTGAGTAAGACCTCAACTAGCCAAGTAAGGGTTTCCTGTCCCTGACAAGGTCAGCCCATCCTCCTGTGTTGGTAGTACTTATAGTAACGATGAGGAACATAGTATATATACCGACGTACACCACAATTAGAAAGTAGAAATCGGTACTATTGAATTTGGACAATCTGGAAAAGATTTCAAGTTGCAAAGACAAACTAAACTAACCTAAGCTTCCTAGGCCTAATAAACGATATCTGAGACCTAATATAGTACATATGTGTGCTTTACTAGGCCTAGGAATATTTAAGTTTTTTTGCTTCATTTTTTCGGACTATAAAGTGAATAGTACAAAATTCAATTATCTAATTGCTTAGTACGTAACTCTTTGTACTATGGTGCACATAGTTACAAAAACTACTATCTAAACAAGAGGATGGATTGAACAAGGTATACCCAGCACTCATTCTGCAGGAGAGATTTATTTTGGATGCAGACGTTCCTGTTTGGAGGAGTGTGTAAGGGTGGACACACTGGCGGCCATGTTGGTCACACAGTCAGAACAGCTGTGGGCGATGCTACTGCGATCACTTAACACAAATTCAAGAGATAACTATTATGATCCGATAATTGATAAGGAAATTACACAACTTATATAAAGGCAGTACAATATTAGAGACAAGAGGCATACAAGTGATAAATGTAAATAATATTTGAAGGATGAAGAGAAAAAAGAAAGAGAGAGAGAGAAAAGGAGAGAAGAAGAGCTGTATCTCCTCCTGCCTCATATTGCCAAACAGGTAACCAAGGAAACGCTTGCTCAAGGACTTGCCAGCTGCTTCAAGGTGTGTTGTGATCGGCCCACATGTTGAAGGGCAGCCGGGTTATTGGGTTACTTTTAAGGTGAGGGAGTTGTAGATTTGTAATTTATAAGTAGCGTGTGTTGTGATTGGCTTTGGTAGATTATAGTCATGGGAAA